TCAAGCTGAGAAAATCAAGTTTGAATTTATCAATCTTTGTATTCTCTTATTCTAAAGTCAAATAATTTGATTTTAAGAGCAGGTTATTTTTTATTGCTGGATCGTGATCAAATGTATCTCTAGGAAATAGCATTTTTAAAAATTTCGCTTGACAGTAAGGCATAGAAAATGAATACTAAAGATGTATTTTACTACATTTCATCTTTTTTTCCCTTTAGCCTTTAAGTCAGGGCTATTCAACTGGCAGCCCGCGGGCCAAATCCAGCCCGCGAGTGACCAAAGTTCGGCCCGCCAATTGGTTCATTCATCTCTTATGCCCAAACCCCTAGTTGTCTACTTTAATTACTCTAAGTTCTTTTAGTTAAATTTAGACATGTTTGGTATCTACAGAAACAACAGAATCGTGGCTACAAGCTGGTAAAAACCATTTCTATGAACATTCAAGTCAGTTAAAACTACACGCAGTTGAAGATAAAACTATGAAAGTGAAAATAAAATTGGTTTAAAAATTTGGTAAGTCAGAGATATCAAAATATTATTTGTGGTAAATGAGGCAGAATGTGTTCATTTTGTTTTTGTTGTTTTATTAACCCTTCTTTTATTACATAGGGTCCTGTAGGTTGTATTCATGATTAAATCCAGTAAAATAAACTGTTTCAAATGTAACAGATCATTGTAATACTTGGTTTATTTACATAATGACTTTAATTGCTGGAGGTTTATCCCCTGTGCCATTGGCCTGTAGTAACTGTGGCCCCCAGAGAAATTTAGTTGAATAGCCCTGCTTTAAGTAATGTATGCTACATAAACTGTAATTTGAAAAAGTTAATTTGTATTTCTATTAGAATAATTTGCTACATAACATTTTTCTCAGACATTGACAGAGATTTGCTCTTGGCTCAAACTATTTTTGAATTTTGGGCCCCTTCTTTAACTGCTTTTGACACCTCTGCACTAGAAATGAGAAAAGAGAGGTGAACATGCATGATTTGTAAAACCAAACAGCAGCCTGCTGACTGTTTCATGGTTGTAAAGTAGGATGAGATGAAGCTTGTTATTGAGATGATAGTGTGTATTAAGTCAAATGAATGACTGAAACCTTGGTAAAATGAAAACATGAAGATCGTTTATTATATTCCATGCTTTTTGCTGTGAAATATTAAATCTGTAAAGTCAAATCAAACATTCAGCACATTTAAAGACAAAACAGTGTAGTGAGTTTACATGAGCAAACACAGATATAAAAAATGACAGTAAAACTAAAAGAATAAGAGGAAAAAGTGACAGATTGTAACTGCAGGTTGTGTTTTTTTCTGAGGCAGAGACAAACCTCCTGCTTCTTCCACAGCATGAAAAGAGAGGAGGGACAGAAATAGAGTTGGGTTGCAAATGGACATAAGGATGATGTGCCAAAGTATAGCGAGCTTTCTGGCCAGCATAGTTTGATTGATTGATAGATACACAGATACACAGATACAAAAACAAACATTCACGTGTGTTGCTAAAAGTGTTTGTGTGAGTTTTTGTGTGAGGTCAAGTGAAGCAACGGGGCACTGAAGTGTGGAGAGAAACAACAGCCCCAGGCAGACACAACAGGGCGAAATTACAGGGTCTGAATGCCTGGAAGGCAGAAGGAAGAAGAAATTTAACAGATGGGTAAGGCTTAGGAAACCTACTGTAGCTAATCTCATTCAAAGTGCTCTCAGTGTGTTGTTTGCCAGGTAAAGAACTGTGAGCATGTGTGCATTGCACCTTTTCATCAGGAATACACTGGCGGACGTTGTCCATGTAGGCGTTGATGTTCTCCACGTTGGTAAAGCGCAGCAGGATTTTGGCAAAGTCCTCCTCACTGATAGTAGTCATCCCTTTTGAGTAGGTGAGAAACTCAATTTCCAATACCTCAGTCTGGAGGTTATCCATAAATCTGAGATGTAGAAAAGTGGAGACGTTGATGTAGTAGGGGAAACAAAGAGTCCTACTGTGTGGTTAGTGTTGTGCTGTCCACTACAACTTTCAAGTACCTGTAGAAATCATCGAATGTGAGCTCTGCTTTTCCTTTCTTTCCAAAGAAATGGACCAGTAGAGTGGTATCAATTGTGATGCTCTCATCTGAGCGCTATCAGAGACAGGAATTAGAAGTTTTATCAGTGATTGTTCACAAAAAAAAAAGGTAAGAGAAGCAATGGGCGGGATACGTCTATCACCAGTCCGTACTGGACATCACTGGGCAGGCTAGCAGGGCGCAGGATTCTGCTGCGTGACGAGCACAGAATGAGCAAAACAAATAAAATGTCCACAAAGTTGTCTGTTCAAATATTCAACAGCGACTACGGTATCAAACAAACCAGTCTAGGCAGCAAAATGTGTGACGAAGTAACATTTTTAAGATCAACTGTGATTACAACACGTAAATGGGATTGGAGGAAAGAGAGAAAGGGGCTGATCGATCAAACGAGTGCTAAATTGTCGGGCAAAATGTAAAAATTGCTTGTGCTATCAGTGGGCGTGGTGCAGGTGATCTAGTGCAAAAAATTGAACTGATCATCCAATTGAAATGAGGATTTTGCCTGTGAGGATTTTGCCTCCTCCACAAATGGTTTAATTTTCCCTCTCTTAAAGAGTTCAAAGAAAAACACAATCACATTAACTGTGAAAATGCAAATATTGTGATGCAGGCTGTATTTGGAGGACGTTTCAGAAAGGAAAAGAAGTCTACTGTCAGAAGACTGCTCTCGCTAAAAAGCATAACTGGGATAATACTGAACAGCTCCCCAAACCTGAAAAACTTGTTTTTGAAACATAGAATGCCATTCCAGGCTTCTGTACATTGACATGAAAAAGTCCTGTCTATCTTTGCTTAAGATTTGATCAGGTTTTCTCAAGCACAAACTTCATAAAGTCCAAAGCAGCATCTTACAGCCCTGCAGAAAGCCCATCTATATACATACATACATACATACACATATGCACATACCATTCAATCAGTGACCAACTAGAAAACCCAGGATTTAAACACCTGCTTGTGTGCGGTTGTGAGCACGCATGTATATACAAGATCTCTTCAATGTAATGTTAAAAAAACTGTGGAAGACCACAGACCTGACCTATAAAGCCCGCAGCCAGCATAAGGGAGACCAGCACCAAAGACCCCGAGAGAGACTCCAAGCACGGAGCGGCATCATCTTTAAAGCAAATTTTGGGACAAAAAAAATAAATGCACTAATTAAGTGTTTAAAATGTTGGGACATTTTATTTAGGTGTTAACATCCATAATAAATACATTTCATGGCTGATTATTTCAATGTTCCAGAGAATTATGTTACTTTTAAAATACCAATCTTTGCAAAGAGGGGAACCTTGCAAATTGAAACCTGAACCAGAGGGGCCCAGGTGTCATTATGTGATGAGTTTGGAGCTGAAGGGTCCATGCTTAAATGACTCATTTAAAGCATGGACCGACATCAGGATGGGTATACTTTTAAACAATCCAGATCCAGAGCATCACTAATCAAGGAAATTCCTGCTGTTGTACTATTTTGTGATTTTGTAATAGTTAGCAGAAAACAAAAGTACGAGTCATGTACTCAGAATATTGAAAGCAAAGTACCTAATATTTGAATGCTAAATACACAATATTTATTATTCAAAACAGCAGATAATTATTTGCTTTGTGAAATGACAGTCTTATCCGAGCTTGTGAATTGGGTGTTGTTGCAGCTGAGTATTATGCCTGTTTGTACACGAGTCATATTTGGATTCAGTCAATGTCGTGATACACCTCCTCTGTTTGCACAGTTTGAATGAACCAACCTTAAAACAAACAAAACTGCAGTTTGGCCAAGGTCCTTGGTGTCAGCCGGACTGGACATTTTCAGACACATTCTCAGACAGATTAAAACTGATTCATGCATTAAGGCTTGGTTTCCTCTATCTCTCTCATAACTACCAACCAGCCCTGTCTCATTCACTTTTTAAAATTAATTCTCATTGTTTTTTTGCTAAGCTGAGGATGTCCTGAAGGCTGCCTCTGAGAGTTGTCTGTGTGTGTGGTTGTGTGTGTGCACGAGCTGCACATTAGATTCAGCAAAGAGAGGGTTTTGGTGGATTACCACAGCCCCAAAGTGCTGCGCCCTTTCATTAACCTTGCCTCTTTGTCGTCTCATTTAATGCAAAACAAATTTCTAATCTGAGCTCTGTTAAACAGTCCTGCAGCTCGTTCTGCTGCAGAGAATGTGTATGTGTGGCCGTTACTTTTACTCTTATTGCCTTAGGTTCCCCTCTGCCTAGCCCCCTAATTACTCCCCGAAACAGGCGGCCGGGCTCCTCATATGTGCTATCATCATTTTAAATTTATTTTGATTGATTTGTGTCAGCTTTAACTATGCTCTGGGCCGGGGTCGATAAATAAAGATCAATACTTTAATGTTTTCCTCTGAACCTTTATTAAAAAATAGATTGGCTATAAAGAGGGCTGAATTACAAGGAGGAGTGCCTACTTCCAATGCATGTCAACTGGAATCTAATTGAACAACATTGAACTGGTGGAGATTAGTCCGGGGAATGTGAGCTGCAAGAGACCTGGAGTTACAGATGGAGAACAGGAGGGAGGAACTGATGCAATGACCAAGTAAAGAAAAGAAAAGTTGGGAGTTGTTCAGTTTTGCTAAAACTTGGGGTTTTGGTGTTCACGGGTCTAGATCTTTAGTACAAATTAAAGTTTTGGCCACATGTAAATAATCTCTTGGCACTTTTATGAGACTGTTCAAGTCGGGACTTAGAGACCCTCTCAGTACCATTTCTGAATAGACAGTGGTGGCAGGAGAGTTAAAGACAACTCACAACCTTTGTGCCTTTAGTAGTAACAGTGAAGAGGTAAGCCAGCTTTGCGGCTCAAATAGATGATACAATGATGACAAACAAATTGGAGAAAGGAAAGAGAATTGGTATAGAGATACAATTCTCTAGCTGAGTGACTTGGTATTGGTAGTTTTCCCCAGTGAACCAGAGGGTCACCTCTTTGGGGCCCTTAGCTGTAGGAGATAAGGTTCTGACTCTTGTTTGGATTTGTGGACTAAACAACACAGTTTACTTGAAGACTTGTTGTTCTGGAAGGGTTACCATCTGGAGCGTCTGTTCTTTTTGTGGATTTCAATGCCCATGTGGACAATTATGGAGTCACCTGGAGGGAAGTGATTGAGAGGAACTGCCTCCCTAATTTGAACCTGAGCTGAGTTTTAGTATTAGATTTCCCCTTGCAGGTGTTTCACACACTTCCTTCTGAGAGGAAATCCCTGGGAAGACCCAAAACCCACTAGAGACATCTGGTCTGGGACCGCAGAAGTGACGAGAGTGTCACTGAGGGGAGGGATGTTTTGGTTTCTCCTGGACTTTCTACATTTATGGCCGGACATTGGACGATGGATGAAACATAATGGAATTCATTTGGACTCCATTTTTTTTTTTTTACTTAGGTACTGCTGCACAGTACGATAGTGATAAACTGGTTAGAACTGTGAAATAAACTGCATCCAATGGATTCTAACTGTATTGAACTAGATTATGTTACCAGATTCAAATTGAACTTCTTTTTTTTTTACTTTCTCCATCTAAAGCAGTAATATTTCATACCACCAATTTCCTTTCTGATACGAAGAAAAACTCAGGCTAGTATAGGTGATACTGATCTCAGTATCAGTATCACCTATACCAGTGATCTGATACACGGACTTTGGGCTTATACACCTAATGTGTCGGGTAAATCTATAAAAAATACCATATTTATGTAAGTGTAATACAAAAAATTAAATCCATAATATAATTCACAATGTTATGGGGTAGTACTATACAAGGTCCAATATTTTTACTTGTGTATTTTAACAGAAATATTAGTGTCACTCACAAAATGCTTGAGTCCAGAAATGAGTCTGCGTCATAAAAAGCGGTTCAAGCGAGCTTACCTCTGACACTCCTTCGTGCCTCCGAGCGAGGTAGTAAAAGATCCATGCAGGTGACATGACGTGAAAAAAAAAAGGAAAAAAGGCAGTCCTGCAGCTTGGTAATTATAAAAAACAGATGACATTAGCGTGGGAACGGGAAAACTTGCATTACATTACATGCACGTTAGCGTGACAATTCTGAACATGTAACATCTACAGACTGAGCAGGTGCTGCTGCGCTTACACATTACCCAGGAGGAAGAAAAAGTAGTTCCTATTAATCACGTATGATTTAGACAATATTTCAATAGTTTAGTTAGTTTATTGTGTCTTCCTTTTAATGATATATTTTACTTGAAAATACTGAAGTATCAAAGTATTGATGTTTTGATTTTGGAATAAATTTTAAAGCATAAAGATCTGGAATATTGATATTTCAGCACTGATTCGCACATCACTAGGCTAAAGATGACGTTTCTTTTAAAATGACAGTGTTTAGATGTTGAGATGATAATGAGAGACAAATCTACAAAATTGTCTGCAAGTGACGTGATATTGTGGCTCAGTTGAACGCTTTTATTGTTTTTTTTAGTATAATAATTTACATTTGCCTTAATTCGTAACCCACCAAACTACTAGCTTCTATCACTGGAGAACTTTCTTGGAGGTAACTGTTATTACTTAAGAAAGCAAAAATAGTAAAATAACAATTATTTTACAAACTTTTCTCTTCTTAAATTAATTGTGTTCTCAGAAAGTTGGGAGAGTGTGTTTACTTGAAACAGAGGATCACTGGGTTACGCGTAGTTGTTAAAACGCATTTGTTTAATATTTACTTAAATGCATGGAAGTGTTTGGAAAAAGCTAGTGGTCGTACATTTACAGTAATTTGGACCCTTTTACCAGAGATACCCTGCTGAGAAGAAATTATCTGTTGTTGAAACCTGCTTCACTGCTACGTGGTAATAAAACACCAAGAATCTTTAGAAACAGCCTATTTAGGAGTAGAGAAAGGTTTTTATAAGAAGGCCTGACATTTCAGTGTTTATCAAGTTTATCCCACATTTGCTCATCAGAAAGTGCTTTTTATCAAAAAAATATAAATAAATACATAAATAAATAAATAAATGTTTGCAGCTCAATAGAATTACTGGATTTCAACAGGCCTAAGAGCATATAA